CTTATCAAACTGTGTGTGACAGGCAGCGCTTGTCCTCGCAGGGCGATTTGTGGCAGCCAAGAATGCCACGGGAAGATGAGGGGGAATTAGGTGGGTTGAAGTGCTTTCCTGGTGACAGTGGAAGCCCGTGCTGCTTCTGCAGGGACTGTGGAAGCGTTGAGGTGAGGGCGGAGGGCCTCGTGCACACCCGGACGGTGCTACGAGGGGAAAGGCGCCGCTGTCCAGTGAGTCCCATCCAAATAAGCTTTGCGCAGGGCAGGTGATGGCTGGCAGCGCCCAAAACCAGCAGCTCAGCCCAGGTGGTGTTTCCCTGCCAGCCTCAGGGGAAGTGCTCATGCTCACCTTTGCTTTATCCACATCTCTTTCCCCAGGAATGACTACGAGAAGATCATCCACCAGAGAACCAATACCACCCCCTTCGACCTGGTCCCTCAGGAGGATGGTGCCGGCGTCACTGTCAGGGTGATGAAGCCGCTGGATGCCGCCGAGCTCAGCCTGGAGACAGTGTACGAGAAATTTCACCCCTCTGTCCAGTCCTTCACCGACGTCATCGGCCACTACATCAGCGGCGAGCGCCCGAAGGGCATTCAGGAGACGGAGCAGATGCTGAAGGTGGGCACAGCGCTGACGGGGGTGGGAGAGCTGGTCCTGGATAACGCCACGATCAAGCTGCAGCCCCCGAAGCAGGGCATGCCCTACTACCTGAGCGCCGTGGATTTCGACTCCTTGCTGCAGAAACAAGAATCGAACGTCCGGTTCTGGAAAATCCTAACCGTCATTTTCGGTTTTGCCACCTGCGCCGTCCTCTTCTTCATCCTACGGAAGCAATACCGGCATCACCAAGAGAGACGGCACCTCAAGCAAATGCAGGATGAATTCCGGCAGGCCCAGGAGCGCCTGATGCGCGAAATGAATGCGGAGGGCGGAGAGACGCTCAAAAACGCTTGCGTCATCTGTTTAAGCAACACCAAATCCTGCGTCTTCCTGGAGTGCGGGCATGTTTGCTCTTGCACCGAGTGCTACCAGGCTCTCCCTGAGCCCAAAAGGTGCCCGATCTGCCGACAAGCCATCTCCAGGGTGGTGCCCTTATACAACAGTTAAATTTCTGTGGCCGAGGGGAGCTTTTGGCATTAAAGCCGCCTCTCGCAAAGGGGATTTCTCATCTCACTGCTTGGGTGGTTGATTTGGGATTAATTTTGGGGAAGGGGAGGGAGCTGGAGTGAGCAGAGTGGAGAGCTGGGTCTTAAAAGACAACGATCAGGCTGATCAGGTCTTACATCACGCTCCGGAGGTTTTTGGGGTGGGAGATGAGGATTCTTCACAAAGGGCACGGTGCTCAGCTGGGAGATGCAGTTTCAAGCTTTTTCTGTTAAGAGTCGGACTCTTCGTGTTTGCGTCATGGTTTACTGAAATAACCAGCTTATAAAAATCTTGTGGGGGAAAAGAAAAGGTGTATTATGGCTTCTCAGAGGCTGCAGAATTTGGGCGATGCTGCCACCTGGCTCCAGGGACCAGGTGGGCTTTCAGAGAGCTCGCGTCGGGATTTGTATGAACACAGGTAATTTTGTGATCATCCATGAAATCGGTTTGTGACCGTATTGCGCCGGGACGCGAGAATGGGGAGGTGAAAACGCTGCAGCTGATTTCTGCGCTTGGCTTGAGCTGGGATAGAAAATGGGATGTAAAGTAATAAAATCGGATGAAAAGTGTGCTTGTCTGGGATCATTACGTGACCCTGAGGGGGGTGACGGGATCTGCTGCCCCTCTGCGCTCCCTGGGGTGGACACGCTGCGCTGACCAACACCGGAGGAACATAAAGCGCTGTCTGCAGCGGTGATGGAGGTTGGGGTAAGGGGGTGGGATTGCGTCCCTGTGCACCAAATCCAACACCGGTCGTGACAGACACCGCTCTCCCCTGTCTGTAACACAGGCGGCACCAAAACCCCAAAATTCCACACCAGAAAGGAAAATTCCCTTCCCCGACTCCCCCATTTTGCTGTAAATCACATTACGGTAACTGCACCCGAGAGGGTTAACGAACCCAAAGCGATGCTTCAGTTAACATTTGCTTTGGAGGGAGAGAAACACAGGGTTGGGGTGGGGGGAGCCCCAGTTTTGGGAACCTGGAGTAGGAACAGCCGAAATTCCCGGGGCTGAAGCGGTCCCGGGGATTTGGGGGAAGACCCCGTGCTGCGTCCGATGCCTGCTGGCGTGCAGAGCTGCTCATGTCCCGCCCTGAGGGGTCTGCTTTTCCCTCGACTGCCAGGAAAAAGGGTGAATTTAACAAGGAAACGGGATTGTTTCCTCGTTAAACGTTAACCGGCCCGGCCGGGCGGTGTCCGAAGGCCGCTGCGGTTGTGCGGCACAGACCCGCCAGCCCGAGGAGCGCCGGGAAGGGTCGCATCCAGCCCGCCCCGCCGGCTGTAGATGGCGGTGGCTGCCTCCTGCAGCGCGGCGAAAAAAACCATGTATATGCGTGCTAAATTCAAAGACCCGGAGAAGACTGAGTTTGCTGGGTTTTCTTCATTTACAGGTTTTTTTAATGTTTTTTATGGCCAGTGTATGCAGCCACGCTCAGTGGCATTGTGACAAAGCAGTTCACGCCTCCACATGCCACAGTGATGCACTTGCTCGTGTGCAGAGCCACTCGCTCCGTACCTTTGGGGAGCACAGGGAGCTCGTGCTGAAGGGTGCTGCTTGCAGAGATGCACGTTGGGCTACAAAGATGATGAGGGGACTGGAGCATCTCTGTGATGAGGAAAGGCTGAGGGACTTGGGGCTTTGCAGTCTGGAGAAGAGAAGACTGAGGGGGGATCTTATCAATACTTATCAGTCCTTCAAGGGAGCTCCCTATGCCATTTCAAGACTTTGCCTTTCCCGGCTGCGGTTTCCTGGGGGACCGACCACCCCAAAAAGCCCCATCCCTTCGACGGGGACAGCGGGGAGGTCACCCCCCCTCGGGCAGACCAGTGCAGGATGCGGCCTCGAGCCTCGGCGCTTTCCCCGGGGAACGGAGCCGTCACGCGAAGCCTAAAAATACACTTTTGGGGGGGCTGTGCTTTCCCCGTTACCTTTCGCCTCCTGTTGTCAAGCTTTCCCCCGTGATATCTCGGGCGTAGACGCAACCTTATGTAAGGAGCTGACAGCTCGGGGGTGTGCGGGGGTGCGGGAGGGGGCTCGCGCGGCTCCCGCAGCTGAGGATTTCGGCAAACGAGGGGTTTGGAGATGGGAGCAGCCCAGAGGCAGCACGCCCTGGCTCCTGTCCTTTCCATGCCACTGTCCCGCTCAGCCCCAAAACGAGCCGGGCTCCCTCTTCCAGAGAGGTCTACCGGTGGAGACATCGTAACATGGCACAAACGACGTTTTTGCTGCTGTCCCCACTGTCCCCTCGACTCCGCTTTGCCGGGGATGCGCGAGAGATGCCTCAAACCCCCCACATAGCTGCGGTCTTCCCCCAAAAGGTCGCTCCAGCCTTCCCATCGCCCCTTGGCCGGGTTGGCTTGCTTTGCCGGGCAATAATCCCGACGGCCCGTGCTGCTGCGGCAACACTGGGAGGAAAACCCCATGGAAAGCTCACAGCGACCCAAAAGCCCTCCCGCAGTCCCGTCCCCGTCCCCCTCCCCGGGAAAGGCTTGTGCAGGGACACATCCTGGAGACCGAGGGCACTCGGATCGACTCCCCACATCGCAGCCCCCCCACGAAGAGGCCCCGCGATGGCTCATTTCTGCAGGGGAGACGCGGGGCTGAGCCCACGCTCCATGGGGACAGGCGCTGGGCTCCCCAGGGATGCTGCGGGGCAGTTCCACACTCAGCAGGGACGATGCAGAGCAGCTCTGAGCTCCCCAGATGTGGTTGTGGGGCAGCCTAGGCTCCCCAGGGATGCTGTGGGGCAGCACGGGGTCGCTGGGGATTGCTGTAGAGCGGCTCCAGGCTCCACAGGGGTAATGTGGGGCAGCTCCGGGCTCCCCAGGGGTGCCTGTTCAGCAGTTCCAGAGTCCCCAGGGATGCTGTGGGGCAGCTCTGGGCTCCCCAGGGATGTTGCGGGGCAGCTTGGAGCTCCCCAGAGATGTTTGTGGGGCAGCTCTGAGCTCCTCAGAGATGCTGTGGAGCTCCCCAGAGATGCTGTGGGGCAGCTGTGAGCTCTCCAGGGATGCTGTGGAGATCCCCAGGGATGCTGTGGGGCAGCTCCGAGCTCCCCAGGGATGCTGTGGAGATCCCCAGGGATGCTGTAGGGTAGCTCTGAGCTCCACGGCGATGCTGTGGGACAGCTCCAGGCTCACCAGCGATGCTGTGGGGCAGCTTGGAGCTCCCCAGGGCTGCTGTGGAGCTCCCCAAGGATGCTCTGGGGCAGCTCCGAGCTCCCCAGGGATGCTGCGGCGCAGCTCTGTGCTCTCCGGCGATGCTGCGGAGATCCCCAGAGATGCTGTGGGGCAGCTCCGAGCTCCCCAGGGATGCTGTGGAGCTCCCCAAGGATGCTCTGGGGCAGCTCCGAGCTCCCCAGGGATGCTGTGGAGCTCCCCAAGGATGCTCTGGGGCAGCTCCGAGCTCCCCAGGGATGCTGTGGAGCTCCCCAAGGATGCTCTGGGGCAGCTCCGAGCTCCCCAGGGATGCTGTGGAGATTCCCAAGGATGCTCTGGGGCAGCTCCGAGCTCCCCAGGGATGCTGTGGAGGGCTCCCCAGGGGTGCCTGTTCAGCAGTTCCAGAGTCCCCAGGGATGCTGTGGGGCAGCTCTGGGCTCCCCAGGGATGTTGTGGGGCAGCTCCAGGCTCCCCAGGGATGTTGCGGGGCAGCTTGGAGCTCCCCAGAGATGTTTGTGGGGCAGCTCTGAGCTCCTCAGAGATGCTGTGGAGCTCCCCAGAGATGCTGTGGGGCAGCTGTGAGCTCTCCAGGGATGCTGTGGAGATCCCCAGGGATGCTGTAGGGTAGCTCTGAGCTCCACGGCAATGCTGTGGGACAGCTCCAGGCTCACCAGCGATGCTGTGGGGCAGCTTGGAGCTCCCCAGGGCTGCTGTGGAGCTCCCCAAGGATGCTCTGGGGCAGCTCCGAGCTCCCCAGGGATGCTGCGGCGCAGCTCTGTGCTCTCCGGCGATGCTGCGGAGATCCCCAGAGATGCTGTGGGGCAGCTCCGAGCTCCCCAGGGATGCTGTGGAGCTCCCCAAGGATGCTCTGGGGCAGCTCCGAGCTCCCCAGGGATGCTGCGGCGCAGCTCTGTGCTCTCCGGCGATGCTGCGGAGATCCCCAGAGATGCTGTGGGGCAGCTCCGAGCTCCCCCGGGATGCCGTGGAG